CAATGAATATTCGAATATTAAAAAGATTGAACAAATGAATATCCGAATACAAATTTTTTGACCGAATCAGACCTCTAACCATCTTTAATCATACTAATCATACAACTTTCGCATCAACCTCTACACAAGCTTTTACCAAAAAGTTGAATGATGCAAAGTTTGTTTTTTCTATATGTCTTAAAGACGTGATATACTTGGTTATTGAAAGAATGAAATAAATTATTAATCTTTTTATTTTTTTTAAAAATAAAAAAGAAAAATACGCGTTGAACCCTACATTTAAAGGCTTTAGCTGTTCGTTCATTTTATAATAGCCATAAACGTTTGAAACGATTTAATATATTTTATTATTAAACGTAAATAATTAATATTAGTACAATTACAAATATTTCTTATATTAGACAAAGTGTTCAAATAACAACGCACACACTAATATACGACCGAATAATACCTATACGTTATATGTAATCTACACATAAATTGGTACAATTATCTGTCTTTTTTACTCTCTGTTTTCTCATCTTCATTTGATTCGGCAACCTGTCCATATTCATTTGCTCTTTTATTGTCTGTAGGGTAGGCCCATCTTTGGTAAAGATAGACAAAGAATACTACATCGTCTCTTAAACAAGCCAAACGATGTAACGTTGGCATTTTAATGCAAAAAGCAAAAAGATCATCGACGAACGTACTAAGCGTTTTGTACATTAAAGTTTTCCAAGGCATATGTGCAACCTGAAAAAATATCACATGAGCAAATAAGCAATATTAACAATTTGAATATCAAAAGAAAATATCGTTAAAAAGGTGTGATACTCTTACACTTTTAAGTTTATAATTGATAAATAATTGTGGTGTCATCATTATGAATCCGAAGGCATATACAAACCCAACAAGTGTTGTCAAAATGAATGAATACCAACTCTTGTGCGAATTGTATAAAAGACTGTAAATTGCGTAACAAAAAAGCAGAGGATATGCCACTCGTGATAAATATCGAAATGCTAATTGATCATATTCTTTTGTCTTTTCTTCAGACTCACTTAGTTTGTGTTTGTCAACAAACATTATAGTATACGGCAAATAACTTGTTCCTTGCGATGGCTTTATCTAATCAAAGATTTTAAATCTTTATAAGTAATGTTGTAAATGAAATTTTATAAGAAATATTACAAACATATATACTAATAAAGCCTCACCTCAATACCAACAGCTTTTTTTACCTTCCACACTTCTATGGCTAACGAAATTCCCTGTCCGATTAAAATCATCCAACTTGTGTCCGCATTATTATCGAGTAAATATAATAGAATAACCAATTGGAAGAAAATGTTCAATAAAATAGATCTAACAGAAACACCAGTCATCTCATCCTTCTTTCTCCAATGCGAGATGTCTAAATATTAAAATAATTAAAGGACAATATTAATAATGTACTTATTATATGTTGTTTAAACCCATAAATTACAAGACAAACCATTTTTAAAAGCCAAGAATTCAAATATGCTGTGCAATAAGGATACAATAAAAGTGACAGCAAGTAATATAGGATTTGTTTCTCTAAGCATTCTCTTAATTTCATCAAATTCGGAATGCGCATCTCCACCAATCATCTCTGCCTGTTTTCGGAATGATTCATCCATTTGCATATATAATTGAAATTTCATGAATGATAAAGGATAATACTTAATGTTTAACGGTAAAGTCCTACATATTTATAATATGATCAATAATGATACAAAAATAAAAACTAGATGTATGAGGTCCTTGCTAGTAAAATAACCTGACATATAACATGTGTGGTCACTTTATCAGTAAAGATCCTAATAAAGATATTTCTTAACGTACTTGACAGTTTCGTTGATAGGCGTTAAATGATCTTTAAGAATCCAGAAATCATTGACAAAGACAAGAGGAAGATACCAACCAGAATGTGTAGTCGAATCTGGTAACCTACTCGCGTCCAATGGTATAACTAGATAAAGAAAAAATTAACAATTAACAAACGGGGTTTTTTTTTCAAACTATTGAGCACAAGACATTAATAAATTTACTTGAAGCAATTGAAGGTGGTAATTTAGCGTAGGGAATAATAACATTGTCGGATACGATATTAAGTGTCAAATTCCGAGACCAGTATGATACAATAGGAATTTTTTCATCAAATTTTATCTAAGTGAAAAGAATATATGTATATGTAAATGAAAAAGAAATATATGAGTAAAAAATATAAAAAAAATTTCACACATTACTTCATCAGTTTCGTTTTCATCGTCATTAGAACCACGAATAAGATTTTTTGTCTTTACAATCTTTCGCTTCGGGTAATATCTTGTTAATACTGCTCAATTGATAATATTATAATTAATAATAATAGTAAATATAAATAATGAAGTTATGTTATATACATTTTCGTGAATAAACCCGCATATTATCCTGAAATCCTGCAGTTAGTGGATCTGGTGACGCTTTTCCAAGTGTGAGAAATATGTGTGCGTACAACGAACCATTGTGCCTCATAGCCTATAAATTTAGATCATTAAAAGATGAAGAATTTTGCTTTTTAAAAGAATAACTCATAACTATACCTCTGATGTTGGAATGTCAAGTGACACTTCTCTTTCGTCTTCCCAATCACCAAAAAGGATATTCGAAGTGTGCCATTTAGGAACAGAAGGATCATTAAACTTTGTAAAGGTTTCGTCTTCAGAAATGTATACACGTAAATCCTTAAAATAGAATGGACATTATAAATGTAAGATTTTATAAAAATTTTTTGCTAAATAATAATAATGCCATCTACCATACTCGATTCCAACGGCCACGAAGGGAATAGTTGTTTTAAATGGATATTTTCATACTGTGATACACCATCGCTTGATAATTTGACAGCAGGAGGCGATGATATATTGGTTGAACCTATTTTAAACAAGATTAAATTAAAATGTAAAAATACTAATGACAGATCAATTAAAATATTCAAACCTTTAAAAAAAAAGTTCATGACATAATATATAAGGAGCATGTTAAATATCGTTTGCGTAATTACTTGAAATGCAGACGGCCGCTGTGGTTGCTGTGGTGGAACATTCCCTTGACCATCGTTCTGCCCTTGTGAATTGTTTGAAGACTGGCTGCCGGAGGTAGGTGCTTCAGGTTGCTTATTCGCAGGTGATGACATCTAAATAATAATAATTTTGCTCAAACCGTGTTTATTAAGTGAATGCT